CCTGGGATGAACCCCACTTGATCATGGTACAATATCTTTTTGATATTTTTTGTATTCAATTTGCCAGATTTTATTGAGAATTTTTGCATCTATGTTCATTAGAGATATAGGTCTGAAGTTTTCTTTCTATGATGTGTCTTTGTCTGGTTTTGAAATCAGGGTGATATTGGCTCACAGAATGAATTTGAAAGTGTTCCTACTTTTTCTATTTCATGAAATAATTTGAGGAGTATTGGTATTAGTTCTTGTTTGAAGTCTTGTAGAACTCAGCTGTGTATCCATCTGGTCCTGGGCTTTTTCTTGTTTGGTAAGCTTCTAATGTCATCTTCTATTTCATTGCTTGAAATTGATCTGTTTAACTTGTGTATTCCTGATTTCATTTGGGAAAATCATATGACTCTAGAAATTTGCCTATTCTTTCAATATATTCTATTTTATTGGAGTACAAATTTTCAAAATAATTTCTAATTATCTTCTGTATCATCATAATATTTCCTTTTTTAATCACAGACATTAGTAATTTGAGTTGTCTCTTTCCTTCTCTTCATTAGCATGGCTAACGGTTATCAATTTTATTAATTTTTTCAAAGGACCAACTTTTTGTTTTGTCAATTTTTTCAATTGGTTTTGTTTCCATTTCATTGATTTCAGCTCTAATTTTAATTACTTCCTGTCTTCTACTGCTTTTGGTGTTGATTTGTTCTTATTTTTCTAGGGCTTTGAGATATAGTATTAGGTCATTTATTTGTTGACTTTTTCTTCTTTTAAGGAGTGAACTCCATGCAATGAACTTTCCTCTTAGTACTGCCTTCATAGTATCACAGAGATTTCAATATGTTTTATCAGGGTTCTCGTTTACCTCTAAGAATTTGACTTTTTCTTCTTTTAAGGAGTGAACTCCATGCAATGAACTTTCCTCTTAGTACTGCCTTCATAGTATCACAGAGATTTCAATATGTTTTATCAGGGTTCTCGTTTACCTCTAAGAATTTTTTAAGCTCTTCTTGGATATCTTTTGCAACCCATTGTTCATCCAATAGTATATTATTTAGTCTCCAGGTGTTGGAGTAGCTTCTATTTTTTATTTTATCATTGATTTCCAGTTTTGTTCCATTATGATCTGATAGAATGCAGAGTAATATCTCTATTTTATTTGCTAAGAGTTGCTTTGTGGCATAATATATTGTCTATTTTAGGAAAAAATCCATGTGTTGCTGAGAAGAAACTGTATTCACTCACTGATGGATGAAATACTCTATATATATCAGTTAAGTCTAAGTTACTGATTATTGAGTTCTATAGTTTCTTTGTTTAGCTTGTTTGGAAGATCTATCCAGTGGTGAAAGAGGTGCGTTAAAGTCACACAAAATCATTGTGTTGTGGTCTATTTGACTTTTGAACTTGATAAGAGTTTGTTTTATGAACGTAAATGCTCCATTGTTTGGGGCATCTATATTTATAATTGTTATGTCTTACTGATGTATGGTTCCCTTAAGCAGTATGAATTGTCTTTCTTTATCCCTTTTGATTAACTTTGGCTTGAGGTCTACTTTATTTGATATGAAGATGGAGACCCTTGCTTGTCTCCACAGTCCATATGAGAGGTATATTTTTTCCCAACCTTTCACCTTCAGTCTATGGATGTCTTTTCCTATGAGATGAGTCTCTTGAAGGCAGCATACTGTTGTTTCTTCTTTAAAATCCAATCTGCCAATCTACATCTTTCGATTGGTGGGTTTAGGCCAATGACATTCAGGGTTATTGTTGAGACATGATTTGTATTCCCAGTCATATTTGTTTATTTTTGGTATTTAACTTGACTTGGTTTCTCCTTGGATTAGTAGTATTTCCTTTAGTGTAATACCTCCTTTTGCTGATTTTCATTGTTTGTTGTTTTTTTGTTTCCTCCTTATGGAATATTTTGCTGAGGATGTTCTGTAGTGCAGGCTTTCTAGTTGTAAATTCTTTTAACTTTTGTTTATCATGGAAGGTTTTTATTTCATCATCAAATCTAAAGCATAATTTTGCTGAATATAAGATTCTTGGTTGGCATCCATTTTTTTTCAGAGGCTGGTACATGCTCTTCCAGGATCTTCTAGCTTTCAGGGTCTGGGTTGAAAAATATGAAGATATCCTAAATGATTTCTCCCTAAATATAATCTGCTTCTTTTCTCTTGTGGCTTTTAAAATTTTCTCCTTATTCAGTATGCTAGGCATTTTCATTATAATGTGCCTTATTGTGAATCTATTGAGATTTTATATATTTGGTGTCCTAATAGCCTCTTATATTTGATTTTCCAATTCATTATTCATGTTTGGACATTTTTCTGATATTATTTCATTAAATAGTCAAATTGGCAAAGACAGAAAGTAGAATGGTAATTGCCAGAGATTACTTAATGGGAAAAGAATTTCAGTTTGAGAAAATGAAAAAGTTCTGGAGATAAATGGTGGTAATGACAACAAAACAATATGAATATACTTAAAACACAAAGTCATACACTTAAAGATTATTAAAATGATAAATTTTATATTATGCATATTTTACCAAAAACTTTAAAACACACAATATAAAATTATTGTTATTATCATGAATTTTGTAAAACTGTACTCCACACAAATCATGAGACAAAGGGTCTTCTTTAAAATATAAGAATTTCCACATCTTCCTAAAAAAAAAGTGAAATTATTTACAAAAAAATTATATACAGATGATTCCATGAATGGTGTTACTCTACATCATATAAAACAAGAGAAATAAAAAGTTGTGCTACATCTGTGTACAATGAATTAAAATTCATTCTGCTGTAATGTATAACTAATTAGAACAAAATTTTTAAAAGATTATTCACAGAAAATAAAATATGGTTGATAGTAGCCATAATTTATATTAACATGACTATTGACTTCCTAATTCTTCTTAGTCCTCATTTTATTTTAAATAATCTAATTTAAAATCCTAGTTCAATTAACATAGCAAACTGCTTATATTATCCTTATTTTATCAATGGAACTAATAAATAATAATATATTCTCAAATAAGTAAAAATAAAAATAAGTAAAAATAAAAATAATTATTTGAATAAAGTTAGAGATATTTTATTTCTAATTCTTAGATAATGTTAAAACCAAGCCTTTTATATAGCTTTCAACCTTTGATAACAATCTATAATAAAAGATGCATTTGAAGTAAATTTTGATACAATTTCAAATCAATGCTAATAAGTAATAAATGCCTTAAAATTTTGGTAGCTACAGGCATAAATATTAGTTTATAACTAGTTTACAAATTAGGAATTCAAAAGTTTGCTATTGTAACAGAATAATAATATTAAAATGATACTACAGCAAAATATTACTTTAAATATTTAAGAGCCATTATAATGGCAAGTAATAAATGTAAATTTAAAAATGATTTATCCAGTAATCTATCAACTGAAAATCCTATTTCAATAACTGCAATGCAATTCTGATGCTAATTGCTCAGAATCAGCATAGACTCTACAGTACCCAATAAGAATACCCTCACCATAGACACTAGTTGTAAATAATGGGCCACCCACACTTCTCACCAATTGACTACCAATCCAGGAATTCCCACCACCTCCCAAAGTTCAGTAATTTTCTAGACCAACTCACAGAACTCAGGAAAGCACTGTACTTACATTTATAGTTTTATTATGAATGATACAAATTAGGACCAGCTAGATTAAGAAACTCATAGGGCAAAGATTAGGAAGGTCCAAATGTAGTTTCTGGGTCATATTCCTGTGGAATCAGGACTTATCACCCTCCCAGATGTGTTCACCAATTAGGAAACTCAATAGGAGCTTCCAGTTATAAGTGCCCAAAGTTTTTAATGAGATTTCATTACATTGGCATGATTGATCACTTATCAGCCACATGACTAAACTCAATCTCCAATCCTCAGTCTTTCCCCAGAGATTAGACTAATATAACCTAGCTCAATGCCCCAATTCTCCAATCACATAGTTGATCTTTCTAGCATAGTCACCTCCATTCTGAAATGATTTATGAACTCATCATATTATCTCAGCATATCTTGGGTCTTGGTCTCAGGGGCCAACAATGATAACAAAGACATTCCTAACACTTAGGAAATTCCAAGGTTTTACATATTCTTGGAAAGGAACTCAGGACCAAAACCAAATTCTTTATTATACAATATTAGTTAACCAGAATTTTTGCACATCTGAATATAATAATATTGTGTTAATAATAACTATGTTGATATTTTAAAAGTACTAAAATATTCTTGGATCAACGAAGATTATGTGTTACTTTTAGCACAAATAATATAGCATGTTTATAGCATGTTTGTTTTAATGTATGAGTGCCTTGTGTGATATATATATATGTTTATATATATATATATACATATATGTATATATATATATATATATATATAGAGAGAGAGAGAGAGAGAGAGAGAGAGAGAGAGAGAGAGAGATTGATGTGTCCCACATGTATATCCAGGAGTAACAAATTGCTTTTAAAAGATACTATAATCTTTCTAACAATTTCTAATTCAGTTCTCAAATGCTTTCTCATTTACTTTCTACCCTCTTTCTACCAACAAAGACATTGTTGGATATACTTTTCCAACTGCATAATATTCCCCCCCCCACTTTGCTAAGAATCATTATTATAGATAGAATCACTACTACCATTCTACCACTAAAATATGATTTGACTTCTTTTAAATCTAGCTTACACTTTTTTCAAGATAAACATATTGCACAAAATAAAATACTTTGTACAGGCAAAATCCTATGCCATACAAAACTGCTAGTTCTTCTTATCATAAGGATAATCAGTTATCCAAATTCAGGTCTTATGATATAAATCAATGTATCAGTATTATAAGCACAAGGGTCCATTTTCAATAACGCAAATAAGGCCCTTAATTATGGGCCAAATCATTTGCTTTTCTTTCTGTGACAAAATATCTCAGTTCTTCCACCACTGATGATTGTTACCTTTGTTTTTGTTTGCATCAGTATACAAAAATCCTGGTGCTTGTCCTGTTTTTCGGCCAAAGAGACCCCAGAGATTTGGACCTGTCTTGTGTTTTCCACCTTTTTCCACTGTGTGGCACTGAGCGCATTTCTGAGTAAAGATCTTCTTGCCTGCTTCAGCATCTCCCATTTTGTTTGGCAAGGAAACCTTAAACCACAGACCAAAGAAAATATCAGATTTGCAAAGCTGGAAACCCAAAGTTATTTCATCACTTTGGCTGCAGTGAATGCTAATGATATTAAACATAACATGTTATTTATAGCATGTTTGTTTTAATTTATGAGTGCTCAAAAGAGGATATAGCAATTAATTTACTAAAAACTTAATCATCTCATTTATTTTAAATTTCCAGTCATAGCTACTTCACAAATTGCTATTAGAATAAACCTAACTTTACTTCAGTATTCAAACAATTATACCAGTTTATACAAGTCCTCTGTATTTCTTTCCTTTTCACCTCTAAAAACATGAAAAATTATTTGAAGTATATAGGTCTAATTTTGCATTTCCTTAGTTAAGAAAAAAGGATAGAATAAATTGGAGAAGTACTTAAGTATGAAATTTATTATGCTTTACTATATGTCTATAATAATAGAACTATAAAATTAAAAATCATACAGAAAAGAATGAGGCCACAGAAAGCTATATGTAAAATAGATTCCCATTTACTTTACACTCTTATTGTAAATCAGTCCATCAGACTAGATCAAGCACTACTAGAAAGCAATCAGAAATAACATTATTGACTTCAGTCAGCACTAATACAATTTAATATTAATGTAGAAAATAAATGTTTTTAAAGTAGATAAAATCTTTGTATAGTAATAGATATATACAAGAGATTTTGTACAAAGACATTTTGATGAAGACTACCAAAAATTCTGTTAGATAACTGTCTCCTCCATCTAAAATGACATAAAAAAGAAAATATTTTCAACCTATCAAAATTATACTTTAAAATGATAGTGAATGCTCTATATGGGTTTTGTTTTCATGCTCAGTGAAGAATAAATACACTAGAGGCAGGGACTGGGATGGATTTGAACATAACAAATTACTATTATCAAAATCATGAAAGTACCTAATTCTTTGAGAGTACAATCCTAAGCATGTATTTATCCATACCTCCCTATTAAGAAATAATGTTTGCATTAATCTGCCAATATTGAAGAATACAGTATTGCTTAAAGCTAACTATTACTCAGAGAAAGGCTAGTGTACAATAAACTACAAAATGAATATCTAATTTATTTCAATCTATGTGCAAGCTGATAAAAGTGTCAATAATGCACCTAAAGGAAAGACAGTTGATTTGTAGGGGGCAGCATCCAAAAACTAGAAATCAATGTTTTAGGTCTGATAGAAAGCAGGGTAAGAAAACTTATTTTATCTAAGGAAGAAGCTAACTTTAAGATTCCAAACATCACTCAGTATATTGCATTCAATTTCTACATGTAACAGTTTTATTAATTATCTTAATAGTTTCAGGATTCAGTGAGCCTTTAAACAGAAGCATTAAAAGGGAATTTTCAACCAGAAAAGCAAATGTATGACCTTTTAGTAAAATACATTCACTATAACCATAAAATCTATATCACATAAAAATAAAATATTACCTAGATATCACCTTTTATAAAGGTAGAAAGATCAGATTGATTGTTTATAACAACTAAAATGTTACTAATAATTCTGAAAACTTTACTCATAAGCTATAAATTTCACATGAAAGTCACTTATAAAAAACCTTCTATTATCACTATTCAAACTACCAGTATGAGTCACAATTAAAATTTTTATGGCTGCCACCTTTAATCACAGATTAATGCTGGTGCAAATGCCTATGACCCTTTTCCAAGTGCAATAAAATCAATACATTCATCAACAGTAAGATGGGTCAGAATATCAAAGGAAACCATTTTGTCCTATAGTCATGTGACACTCTACCAGTATTTAGCATTAAAGAAGAAATATCTCACTAAAATAGGCAAAGATGTGACCTCTAATATGAGCCTGATCGTTCATCCAACAATAAAGTATTCCAATACTAACTAGATGATAAAAGTAGCAAACATGGTATATGCTTACTCTATTTTAGGTATATGCTAAGCCTTTTACATATTTTCAAGTCATTTAATCTTCGCAAAAGACCTATGAGATAGTTGCTATTCATATCTCTACTTTCGCATGTGAGGAAGATGAGGCACACAAAGATTAAGGGGCATATTTAGGGTCACAAATTTGTAAGCAGTTAAAAATCTGTTTTTAAAGTGATCAGGAGATCCTTCTTTGAATACAATTGCAGATTTTTAAATTTTTTCCCAAGTGAGAAAACAAAGAGAAGTAAGTGAAGCCGTTCTTAATAAGCGTACAGACCATTGTCAAGTCTCACTTTGTGTAAAAAGAGGAATGCAGAGGGGGTCAGAACCATCAAGGTACCAACAAAACTTTTAAAACTTACAAAGCCCACACATAGTTGAAGTGATGAAAGCAGGAGGGGAAGCTCACTAGAATATTTTTGGGAGGATGTGGGATCCATGTGGTAGTGGACTGAAGTGGAAGGCAGTAATGACAATGGAACCCTGAGTAAATCACCTCACATCCATGAATCCCCAAAGCTGTCCTTTACCCCTTCTCTGTGGCTGTGAATGAACCCCTGAGCTGCAACACGAGTCGGGCTTTCCAAACTTCCAGCCTCAACTCCCCATGTCACCACTTCCACCTCAGGCTGCCCTCTGCCAACCACGCGTCTGCCCAGCCGGCCCGCACCCACCACGGAGCCAGGGCCTTTGCTCTCCACCTCCTTTGGGCCGCTGCCCTGCGGGGGCCCACTCCCCTCTTTGGATACTGGAGGCTGGGCAGGCATGCTTTGAGTCCCTTCTCCGCAGCCCAAGTCAGACGTGCGCTCAGAGGGTCGTGGACTAATGGCAGGCTCCATGCTCGCAGCTGATTGGCCCCCGTCTGATCCCGCGGGATCCCAACTCTCGCAGAGCTTAAAGCCTTGCACCCGCCACGCGGCAGCCCCCTTGAGTCTTATTGTGACAACGAGAATGCCTTTCAAGCATAAGGCCCCCAAAGCATGTCTTTTTTTGTGGGTTCAACCTTTACCCAACCAGAGAATTTATTTTTTGTATATGCACAATGTGTACAAGGTCTTGCCTGACATAGAAACTTCGTGCTTTATTAATGGTCCGAGAGCATTTGGCGACGGCAATCAAATCAAAGTCAACAAAAGAAAATGAGTGTTATTATAGGCAAGTCACAGTGCCAGGCAACTTGGAAATATAAACACTGAACACCTCAGCCCCAGTTTTCCATGAGCTACAATCTAGATGGAGCAAGATGTAAAATACAGTACATTTACATCATTACAAACAGACTATACGATAATACAGCAATTGACAGCAAGCTTGCAATGTGGTAACTGCCAAAAATGGGGAACCAAGTAGGAATATAAACAGAAAGGAAAAAAAAGTCCTGAAAAAGTAAAGAAAGAAGATATAGAGGGAAGGACTGAGAGAGTCAAAAGGAAAAGGCAATTAAAGGCAGAGAGGTGAAAAAGACAAAGTTGTGTTTAAAAAAACATAAGTAGGGAAACTTAAGTTTATATTACTACTTGAGTAGAACACTGTAACTAGGAAATAGAAATATTGAAATAATTTTCTAAAATTGTTTAACTATCAAGGTATTTGGAAATGTGATTGATAGTGAATATTTTTATGAACTAGGGAAATAGGATTTTTATTCAATATTCTTGTTCTCCAGAGCACTGCTGTCCAATTGACCTTTCTGCTGTGATGGAGATATTCTGTGTGGACTTTAATATGGTTAATATTTTAAACTGAGGAACTGAATGATTTTAATTGTAATGATTTAATTGATAATTAAGTTCAAGTAATTTTAATTTAAATAGCCACAATTACAGATGGTTGAATGAAACTATGTGGTACCTATGAGTTCTGTCGTGTTATCAACACATTTAAAAGCTATGTCATCAACCAAAAGAACCAGGTTTGTGGGGGAAAATCAGGGTTTAAATATTATTCTCAAGTTCAAAGGCATGCAAACCCAAGGAGACTGCCATTTCTTGAGTGCCTATCACAGCCAGGCTAAGTGCTTGCATACATTAATCACTAGCAGATAGTATACAGATGGGACAAATGGACATTCTGACCTATTTTCACATATAACAATCTGAAATTTATGAATTTATTACCAATAATTACCAGTAGTTAAGTCTATAGAAAATTTGCAGGTACAGTAAAACGTTTTTGGTTAAATATAATATCTGAAGATTCATATCCCAACCAAGTAAGCCTCATTGCATTTACATCATAGTTTGAGAGATTTGGGAAACAAAAACAAAAATTTACTATTTTATCTTTGAGTTTCAAAAATTGGTCACAATATCATCTCTCCCACACTATTATTTTTTCCATGCTTGAGATTAAACCCAGGACTTCATGAATGCTAGGCAAGTCCTCCACCACTGAACAACATCCTTAGCCCCTTACCTCTCATTTTAAAAAAGGGGGTGGGGGGAGGAGTGGATTGATTCATAAGATGTGGGAGAGAAAAATGTCAAAGGACATCTTAATTTTATATGAAGTCAATATAAGTGTTTATTATATTAATAATTGTGCATTATAGTCTATATGTTAAAGCCTTGAAAAAATTTAATTGGAAATGCCCAGCATGTCTTTTCTCTAAAATAAGGTTAATAATCATTCTTTTGAACCTCAGACACTATCAGTGTTTTAGTTACATGTAATTCATGTTCAAAGATGTTATGTGGTTTAAAATATGACTTCTGTCATTGAGGGATGAAATACTCTAAAATGGATCCTGATGCTTGCACAACTTTGTGAACATACTGATAGAGCACTTGAAATGGGGATTATATCTGGATAAATCTGTTTAACATAAATAAGTCATATAAAGAAAATATGTTTATTACATTTTTATAATTTATAAGTAATTTTCTCCCCCCCCCCCTTGTACATGTGGTATTTCTTAAGATTGAGTAGAAAAGAAATTTTTCTTTCCTAGGACATTCCAATGTTTTTCTTTAAAAAATTAGCTGCTCTGAATTTTGGGCTGATAGTGCAGTTTAAGAAAATTATAAATTTTCCACTAGATGGCACTTGTGTGCAACTAGTATTGCTCAGAATCTTTACACTACTTCACATCAATAAAATTATTACATTATGTTATTTTCATTCACCTTGATTGAACTGGGTAAGACAAAGAGAAGTGAAAAGTTAAGCTATTTCCTAAACTTGTCAAGCTCTACTGTAAACAGAGCGTTCATTGTACAGTTATGGAATGTAAAACAAGGAAAAGAATGAAAATCTTTTTAGTATATAATCCAGGATAACAATTCGAATCCCTGACTCTTTGTTACCATCAAACAACTACATACTATCAAGGAGGTAAGAGAGGGCACCATAGTTAACGAATGAATTTGACAACTATCCCAGTTAGTAAGAAACATTATTTCTACTTTACAGTTGAAGTAATCTAGCTGGAAATACTAAGTAACTTGTCTAAGCTTATGCAATTTAGTAGCAAAACTATTTCTGTTCCCGGTTGTATGTATAGCTCCTAGCACAGATCCTAGCACATAATTGTTGCACAATAAATGTTTATCTGTTTGACTTCATAGAAGCACAGATCTTAGTACCCTAGTCCACTTTCAGGTATATTCCTTTCACTTCATTCTGATACTACTGCTAAATCCAGGCCTTATTTCTGCTGACCTCTCTTCCAAGACCCACTAACAAGAAGGTTTAGAAGAGGAATTCTAGCTTAACAGAATTTTTTGCTGAAGGCAGACCATAGTGATAAGATTTTATCAGGAGTTAGATAATTTTCTATCTATTCTAATCTTGCTTCTGGCTATAAATGCCCTTTTATCTTATTAAAGTCAGAATTGAAACCAGTATCTCCCCCCACCCGTGTCCCCCTACCATGGCTCTAAGATCCCATTACAGGTCCCTATACCTATCACCAGATGTCCCCCTTGAATAAAGTCAGCCATCTTTAAGAAATGTCATGAATAATTTTTTCTTTAACAATGACAACCAAGAATCCTTGGGTTCTTGGGTAGGGTAAAGCAAGAGCTGGCAAAGTCCCTGCACCAGGCAAGACTATTCTGGCTGTAGGGAACTAAGGATGACACAAACTAATGTTTGGACCTGGGTTTAACGGGATTGAAGGACTGGACTTGGTGAGGGACCCCCGCGGCGCCAGGGGGCGCTGCAAGCTGCCCCCGGAAGCCAGCACCCTCAGCGGCGGGACAGCTCCTGACGCTAGAGTCCTCCGTCTTCCGGAAGCCCAGCGGCGGACTCGCTAGAACTGGGTGCGCTACAGCGGCCATGTCGGACACAGCAGAAAAAGATAGGACTGACAGGGACGCGGGCCTGGCTCCCACGCGGAGGTGGGGCATCATGGACGAAGCTGGCAGCTCTGCGAGCGGCGGAGGCTTCCGCCCGGGAGTGGACAGCCTGGACGAACCGCCCAACAGCCGCATCTTTCTGGTGATCAGCAAGTACACGCCCGAGTCTGTGCTGAGGGAGCGCTTCTCGCCTTTCGGCGAGATCCAGGACATCTGGGTGGTGAGGGACAAGCACACTAAGGAGTCCAAGGGCATTGCCTTCGTCAAGTTCGCCCGCAGCTCGCAGGCCTGCAGGGCTATGGAAGAGATGCACGGACAGTGCCTTGGCCCCAACGACATCAAGCCCATCAAGGTGCGGGTGCCCGGGTCCTGATGCCCGGGTCCGGGTGCCCGCGGGGTCGGGGCTAGGACGTGGGGCTAGGACGGGCCCTGGTGTTGTGCCAGGACGGGGGAGGGGTGGACATCCACTCCCCGGAGCTGACCAGGCAGCACCTGGCATGCGCGGGGTGGTTCGGAGTGGCTTTGAGAGGGTCCCCGCCCCCGAGGGTGCACCCAGGAGCGCAGAGGGGCGCCTGCGAGAGAACTTCTTTCTCCCTTGCGAGTGGGCGGGACAGCCTTGGGCACTAGAGAGGCTGGAGCTGTGTTTCCGCCTCTCCCAGGTGGCCACTGCCCCTCTTTTGTTGTCATCCCCACCCACCCCTGGCTTACCTTTTGGTGTTTTCTGACCCTCTTCTCTCAGACATTTCGGTTTACTATGTATATCTCTGCTTTTCCTCAGGTAAATAGGAAACTTAAAACTTGCGCCAAGTACATAGGTGAAATTGTGGCCCTCTGGGTTTGGATCTTTTCCCCAATACCAAACAAAAGTATTCATGTATGTAATACTAAGTGCAGGTGATTAAATTACCCCTATTACATATTCTTCACGCTTCTGTGAGTTTTGAAATTATTTTAGATAAGCCCTATTTGTGAAGATATTAATGCCGAACATTTGACTATTGATCCTGTTAAATGGCAGTTTTCTTTGAAAAAAGACCAAAGTAGGGGCTGGGGTTGTGACTCAGCGCTAGAGCTCTTGCCTAGCAGCCTGGGTTCGATCCTCAGCACCACATATAAATAAAATAAATGCATTATGTCCAACTACAACTAAAACAAAATATTTTTTAAAAAGAGAGAGAACAAAGTAAACTCCCTTAAGAGGAGCCAAATCATTGTGACAGTAGTGTGGCTTTTGAATTATTTTAAGATGTTTATTTGTATGTTCTTAGTTCTTGTTTGTATACTCAGTTCATTCTTGAAGTATTTATATTCTATTTCTATACTTAGGCATCTGTAAAATTAAGGGCTCATAGAAGAAAGGGTCATTTTCAGGGTTATTTGACTTAATCTATCCTTTTAGCACAATTCCTGGCAGAAGGGAAACCCTCCATATATGTTTATTGATCAATAGTAGTCAAGATGTCACTCCTTACTTACTGTGACTTCAAATCAGGACTCAGTCCTGAGAATCTAACAGTCGTTTAAATTGTACTCTTCACCTGTCTTCTAAAGGTAGTTGCTGTATATGCAATTCTATTGGAATTTTCCACAAATTTTTTTCTTTCCTCTCAATTTTCTTTTTTTCCCCTCTTTCTTTATTTTCTGTTTTTTTTTATTTACAGAAAATTGAGAAGAATATTAATATGGAATTCTAAATTAATAACTCAGATATTATAGTCTCTGGAGGTCCTGTCTGTACCTCCTCCATACACAAAAGAGAAAGAGCCTGGGAATATACCAGTAACACAGTAGACACTAACAAAAATACATGACAATCTAGTGTGTTCATGTCAGTATAGAGCTTCAAAATACATGAAGCTTTATTGACAGAACTAAAAGGAAAAAGATAAATGATAATCACCTCCTGAAATTAATTGTAGAGCAATAGCATACACTAGTTCAGGAGTTGGCAAACCTCTGTAAAGGGCCACATAATAAATAATTCCCACTTTTTAGGCCACATACAGTCTCTGTCACATCTTTCTTTTTTCAATAGCCCTTTAAAAACAAGAAAATTCTTATATCATGAATTATACCAAAAACAAGGAGCTACAATTTGCTGATACCTGCAATAGATTGATAATTTTCATCTCTTTGTATTTATGGCCTTAATGTAATGGATTTTATAATTTGGAATATAACATGATCTCAGCCCATGCAGGCAATTCAAAAAAAGAGACCCAAGTTTGAAACTGCCTGCCTTCAATAAATTCCTACACAGGAAATTTAAGTCTAGATACAGAAACATAGCCTCCCTCAGCCATAGAGAAGTTAAAGTGCTTGTTCCCAAAGAGAATTAAAGTTTACAATTCTGTTTTTCACATTTTTGTACACTCAGTTTCAGCCAGAAGATTGTATCACTATTGTACCTAGCCAGACAATCAAAGCTCATTCTTCAGCAGCTACAGCTCAGGTTGTCTGCCACTGGAGCACATCTGGTTTTCTTTCTTTTTTTTCAGTATTTCCAGTTAAATTAATTTAGCTTCTGTTTTTTCACATGTACTTTGTTTTTGCAAAGTTCCAAAGGATCTCCAAGACAAAAATATTACAGCACCAGGCTTCCGGTCAAAAGATTGTCCAAGTAAAAAGTAGTCTGTGACCAGCTATGGGATGGATTACCTGGAGGAAAAAAGTAAACCTAGAAAATAGAAGAATCTTGGTTCTAGCTTTGCAAGAATACCCCATCTAGAATCTATGTCTTCATAGTGTATGAAAATAAAAATATGTATGGAGAAATCTTCCATTAGTGTTGAAGTGCTCTACATCCTTTATTGGCGATTTCAAATATTTCAATCCTCAAAAGTTTAGAAGTATGCATCTGATAGAATATCTAATCACATTTTACCTGAGTCCCCTTTATTTCCTGTAGTGTCTTTACATATTCTTAGAACTTCTCTTTTTGAATTTTCCTATTGATCATTTATTTCCCGGGCATCCACTAAGCTAGGTTTGTAGTTAACCATTTCTGTGTTACTCATTACTCTTATTACTAATGCCTCAAACAGTGCTTCACATATTGTGTAGATCTGGGGGAGAGTACTGGGATTTGAACCCAGGGCTTTACTACTGAGCTACACTACATACCCAATCCTTTTATTTTTTAATTTTCAGATTGGATCTCCCTAAGCTGCTGAGGGCTTCTTAAGTTGCTGAGGCTAGCCTCAAACTTGGGATCTTCCAACTGCTGCCTCTTGAGTTGCTGAGATTATAGGCATGTTCTACCACACAGAGCCATGTAGTGTAAATTACTGAAGAAATAACAGGACATACACTTCATTTAGAGTTGTCTCCTGCCCTGTCTCATAAGCAGAATCCCACACCTCTATGTCAGACTGTCTTTTGAGCAAAAATAATGGCCTGCTTTCCCCATGGCTCTGATGTCATTTTTTTTTTCAACATTTATAAAATCCCATGGCTTTTTAAGTTGAGTGTCCTTTGGGTTCCTGTCTCCTTCTCTGGAATTTCATAGTCCTGGTTTTCTCATACTTGAATGATATACTGACACTTTAAAGGAAACACAAAACCTCAAGGGTTCTTGTATGTGTAGTGATTTAATTAATTACATTACATTTCTTCAAGTTATTTTTAAAACTAGCCATTAAACTTATTATGTTTATAATTATACAAACATATCCATGATCTTAGTCACAGATTTTTTTAAATATTTTTAGTTGTAGATGGACACAGTACCTTTATTTATTTTTATGTGCTGAAGATTGAACCCAGTACCTCACATGTGCCAGACAAGCACTCTACCACTGAGCTACAACCCCAACTCTTAGTCACAGATTTTTAGCATTGCTTTAGATTAGTATAAAAACAAAATAGATTTAGAAATCAATACTACAAAGCAAATTCAGAGTACTCTTATGTCATAAAAAAATATTTCAATAAACAGAATTGCCAGTATTGAACCTCCTGTGCATTTCCCTACTCACACAGGAGATCATTTGAATAATCACTGAGATGACTCAGAACATGGTTATGCTACTTTTTCTAGATATTAATACTAAGAAAGAAAACAAAATATGACAATCTAGACTCAAACCCAACTGTATCAGCAGTTACATTAAATGTAAATGACTAAATACTCCAATTAAAGGGAAGAGATTATAAGATTTAAAAAAAACCAACTAAGTGCTGTTTATCAGAGTCATGCTGAGGGGTTGGGGGAAAGCTGGTGTAGTATCAAACAAAATAGACTTCAGTTCATATATTAACAGACATGACATAATTTCATAAGAATGAAAGTATCAGTTAAAAAAATATATAGAAAACTCATTTGTTTATTCAGCCAATAATCTTAAAAATACATGAAGTATTGACAGAATTAATGGATAATTCATAATCAGATATTTATATTCTTATTATCTAATTGAACAAGTAGACAAAGTATATAATATCTTAAGTATATAATGGACATTTATGAAACACTGTCAAACAACTGCCAAGTATACATTCTTTTTAAGTACAGTGACTTGCTAATCAAAAATACAAAATGAAAAATGCATTTGAAAAAACATTGCAGAGATTGATATTATACAAAAAGTCATTGCAATAAAGTTCTTAGAAAAAAGACTCCATCAAATTGCATTTTAACCTAATGGGTATTTAATCATAAAGTAAATGTATTTAAGGTACAGAAAAAAGTTTTGACTTTATTTTTGGGGTTCTGTTATGTTTCTTAGGTTTTCATTGCTCAGTCCAGATCATCTGGAAGTCACCGAGATGTCGAAGATGAAGAACTTACAAGAATCTTTGTTATGATACCAAAGTCCTATACAGAAGAAGACCTACGGGACAAATTTAAGGTACTTGTTTTTTCTAATCAGCTAGTATATGTAACAACTAAAATATTAATACTAAAAAGAAAATAAAATAAATGTAACAACTAAAATATTAATCCTTAATGGTTGTACGGTTGCTAAAAAGGAGATAATAGTAGTGGGGGGTTCTCTCCTCCCCAGACGTTTATCATGAAAATACAGACTCAGAAAAATGAAGGATAAAGCTCAGAGAGTTTTAAGTATGGTAACACAAGTAGTAGGTACCAAAGCCAAGATTTAAAACTACTCTGTATCCAGAGCCTGTTCTTGGCCTTTAAAATTTCAAAACATTCTCTTATCACTACTTCCATTGCAGCCCTAAGTGTGTGAACAGCATTATCTAATATTTTTTATGGACCTAAGGCATATTGACATTTTACTCATTCACAGAAAAGCTTAAACTTTGAAGAGCTTTAATTGTAAAATTGGGCCTACAAAGGAGTTATATTTAAGGAAAAACTACAGCTCTGAACTATAGGTCATAGTAAATGGAATTTGAAGATAAGTCTTTAGCCATTGACTTTTATATGCAGTGGTAAACTTTCACAGAAAGTTTTTAAAAAATGGTGTTTAAGTTGTTTTGAGTTGTAATTTTTTTACTTTTCTACTTATCCTCCCAATACTGTGAATAGGGTGGGCAATAGCAAAAGAAAAGAAACAAGCAGTAAAAGGTAATTTTCCAACTTTGTCTGTCCTACCCCAATTGAGAGTTGAATAAAATACTTCAGAAACAACAAATACCAAAAGAATATATCCCATATTTCCTTCAGTAGTAAGGAAGTTTTTTATTTTATAAATTTATAACTTCTTTTCTTAGTGAACAAATAAGATATTTTAACCTAAATATACAGTAATTAAGTTGCTTGCTAATTGTTTACATAGAATTTTGTAACGTAAACTAAAGACCAAGAATTTATACCCTGGGTTTCTTCCAACATTAAAAATAAATAATGCTGCATATTTCTCACATAGGATGTTAAAATTCTGAGTGAACTGTGTTTTAGAGATATATTTTGAGCTGTTCTCCAAAAGAATACACTATTACTTATGGTTCTCTTAGAAGACAGTATATTATAGTTAATGTTTATTGAGTGTTGAGTATGTCCCAGGCTTTACATAAGCACTTAACATAGATTAGTTCATTTAACCTTTAAAACAACCAAGTGAGACAGGTACTGCTTTTAGTCCCATTTAACAGACAGGCACAGAGAAGATACATAATTGCCTAATTAATAAGTGGCTGAATCAGAATTTGACTCTAGAAAGCCCAATTCCAGAACCCCTGCCCTTAACCACTACTGAGCAAAACTTTGTAGCTATCTGGACCATGTATAAATTCTTTCTTTCTGTTGTTTGTTTCCTGTGTGGCCTAGGCAAATTACTGGATTCTGCTTGCTTGTTTATGAAACAAGCAGTTTAAAATATCTATATATCTTGAAATAGCACAAGTAAATTTAAATTTAAGTTAGTTCTGAAAAACTCTGTTCAGTTTTTAATTTTGAGTCCCCTAAGATCATTTCTTTTAACTTTTACAGGTGTATGGAGATATCGAGTATTGCAGCATTATTAAGAATAAAGTCACTGGAGAAAGTAAAGGTTTGGGCTACGTACGATATTTAAAACCATCACAAGCTGCCCAAGCAATAGAAAACTGTGATCGAAGTAAGAATGCAGTTTTTAAACATTGTTAAAGACTTTTTTGAAAACTCTGTTATTCTAAACAACTGAATCTAATGCTGGTTTTGTGAATACCTGCTAATTTAATCTTAGCAGTGGATGTTTTAGGACTGTGATTAGGCAATATTCATTGAAGCACTGTCTGAAGAGAAATAAGAGCGACTACATTACTAAGATAGCAAGTGGAACAGTTTTTGACTTTTTAAAAGTATTTTAGAATTTAAAGTATTAAGAAATTGATTTGCCCTTTCAATTTTTTTAAATACTTATTCTTTATGCTTGTTCATATTTGACCTAAACCCTAAATAGAATTAAATATACTAATAAACTTGTAAGTTAAGGATAGGATTCATAAGGTTTACTAACATAAGTAATTAACCATAGATGAGATAAATTCAAGCAGTGATTGGATCTTATCCTATTACTAGTATACATAATAAAGAATAAGAACTTTAAAGGAACCAAGAAGTATATCTTGTGTCATTATACTTCTAATTATACTTACTTTTAGAAAGAATAAATTACTGGGGTTTATGCTATTATGAAAATGTATACATGTGGGAAAGAATTATTATTATTATAATAATTATTGTTAATCAGTAGAACTCTTAGATAATCCTAAGGTTCACAGCCAAATTTTCTCCTTAGATCCTTCTGCATTTCTCATTCAGTCAGCTTTAATTGAGTACCTATGGTATACTTACCACTATGCTAAGTAGAGGGATATAAATGAAATGTTTGGAACTTCCAGCATTCAGGATTTTATATCTATAGTGGGTAGCAAAGACCTAGGCAAAAAACAAAAAATAATAGAAGAATTTTTAAAAGGCTCTTTGAGAGCAAGCAGTATGTCTTATTTGTCTTTCCATCATCTAATAACTAGTGTAGTAATAGGCCCCTAAAGACTTACTGAGATCTCTACAAAAGTAACTGCCATTTATAGTAGACTCAGTAAGAATTTGCCAATTGAAAAAAAAAATGTTCACAACTGTGTGGTATAGTTCTGTCAGTAGTGAACAACAGGTGCACTGAATGAGCCTGGGAACACATCCAGAGGAGACAGGATTTGCATCTGGTATAGAGCAAGCAGGAGAGAACATGAAAGCAGTTTTAGCAAAGGCACAGAGCCACGAATAAATACGTCTTGTGCTTCATGTTATGAAGGCAGCTGTCTATAAAGTACAATATTCCTGCTGAGAAAGTAGGCAACAAATTTAACTAAATACATTGGAACCATATATGGAGGTTTTGAAGACATCAAGCTTAGTCTAAGTAAGGATGCTCTTGTAAATTGTTCAAAAATAATAAATCCTTTAGAACAATTAACCTAACCACAGTATTAAGGATAGATTTTCAGAAAAAGATTTCAAACTGGTTGCTTTTATTCTGTTTGAAATCAATAGGATTTTGATGTGGAGAATACTGGGCAAATAACAGTGAAGTCATCTGTGATAGGGACGATTGGAAGGAACAGCCTAGAATTGCTCATCTTTTTTTTTTTTTTTTTTTTTGGCAATTGTAGATAGACAGCCTTCCTTTATTTTATTTGTTTATTTTTATGTGGTGTTAGGGATCTAACCTAATACTTCACACATGCTAGGCAAGTGTTCTGCTACAGAGGTACAGTCCAGTAGAATTGCTGAACTTTTATGTCTACATTGATCCATAATTTGGGGTTCTTGCTGATCCTCTTTATTGTTTGCCATATTCTAGAAAACAAAGAAATGAGTCTGATGAACCATTTTGCTTTGTACGATTATTTTTATAAAGCTATCAGGCACTATCAACCAAGTATATTTGCCATATGTTAAATTTTCTCTGCAATTTGAAATCATTGGTTCTCTTTTTCAGGTTTTAGAGCAATCTTGGCCGAACCTAAAAATAAAGCATCTGAATCCTCAGAACAGGATTATTATAGTAATATGAGGCAAGAGGCTTTGGGACATGAACCTAGAGTAAATATGTTTCCATTTGGTAAGTGGACTACCTTTACTTCAATAGCATATGTTGTATATATAATGTAATTTGAGTTTTTAAAAACTATGCTTTTATAGGCAGTCTGTAAATCTCATCTAGAGAATAAAAATCTTAAATGTGTTTTTTTTCCTAAAATCTTGGGCATGACTTCTAGTGTTCTTAATAACTTATTTTACTTAATTGATTTCCAGTTATATAGTTTTACCTGATTATTTATGCATTATCTGCATATTAAACTATATCAGTATCACTTTTATAGGTGAACTTCTGCCTTTATACAACTGATCAAAAAGTATAAAGCATATATGTACAGATATTCCCTTACAATGAGTCCTAAAACTTTGTTTTAAATACTACTGCTGCTTTAAAATTAGGGTTACAGAAAGGAGAAAAGTGACAAAACTAGAAACTAATAAAAGTGGAAAATGAGTGATCAAAGTAAGGTCTGAGGTTGTTATTTGCCACAAAACTTCAGATAAAATATTTGCCATATTTTTCAATTTTTACATACCAAATGTATACCTGTGAAATTAGATCATACATTTCTAATTGTATTTCTGCATAGAAGATTGGGGAATGGGGAGAGTTGTCTGTTTTCTTGTCATTAGTTCTTTCTGGTAGTGCTGGTGACCAGAAACATAATACAAAACACATTGCCTTAGCAATGGACTTTTTATTTTCTAGTACAAAAAAATGTTACATGAATTTTGTGTGTATAGAAGTTTAAGGATTTATTTTTCTTTTTAAAATGTTGGAGAACAACAACCTGAATTTTCAAGTTTTGACAAGAATGACAACAGAGGCCAGGAAGCTATCTCCAAACGCCTGTCAGTTGTTTCAAGGGTTCCTTTCACTGAAGAGCAGCTTTTCAGCATTTTTGATATAGTACCAGGATTGGAGTATTGTGAAGTCCAACGAGATCCTTATTCAAATTATGGTAAAATAATGTCTGTGTTCTTATATACACTTTTTTAAAATAGCATTTCCCCAAACACAACTTTTTATGTCAGATACTATTTGTGTGACAGGAGTTTTGTGTTTCCTTTTTCTCTACTTTGGACTATAAAATCCAGTGATACCTTAATAAACAAACCAGTAGGAATCTGTTTTATATAATGTCATTCAGTTAAAAAAATACTTTAATTCCCACAAAATACAGCATTCTCTATTTCTAGTAGCACAACAAAGACACCTGTTTGTACTCTTTTGATTAATGCTAGGCAAAGTTAAAAACTATAAGTTTCCTCCTCTTTCATCCCTAAGTCTCTTTTTCTTAAGCTTTATGCACCTAAATGAAACTTTTCCAAATTGAAGCTTCTTACATGCCCTTTCACTAGTTTTTCCAATTCTCAACAGAAGCAAGACTCTAATATCAACTATTTGAACCTGTTAATGTATCTAATCAATTAATTAGTTATCTAGTGTTAGCTCAACCCATCTTTCTGTTAAGCTTTTGATTTTTATTAAGGTTTTCTGTTAAAGGAGGCGTTATGATGGATAATGGAAAAAGTCTAGCAATCCATAAAACCCAGCTATAAATCCCAGCAGTGGTACTAGCTTTAAGACTTTGGTGAATTGTTTATCCTCTTTGGAGCCTCTCCTTTTCTCATCTATGAAATGGGATTATTAATATCTTCTTTGCTAGGGTTGGATCAGAATTAGTAATGAAATATGTAAAATACCTAATGTAAGTCCTGACACATAATGAGCACTCAGTAAATTTAAGATTTGTTTGATTTTCAAAGAATTAGAAACAAGGAGTGGTATAAATAAATTATATTTGGCATATTTCCAGTTCCATGGGTTATCTGATTTAGTCCTTTTAGAGTTACATGAGTGTTGAAGGGAAGCAGAGGAATCAGTGTGGGCTTATGAACTGATGGGCCTGAAGTACTCCCACCCTTCCACAGACACCCCCACATACTATTGCCTTACCCAGCACTGGTCTTTTTGCACAACTGTCCATCGGAACCTACTTCAGGCCATTTCCAACCTTAACCCAAACATATGCTTTCATTTTTTTGTTCCAAGATCCCTAGGCACACATATCATGTTTTCTGGCACATTTATTGTTATATTTATGTTATTCTGCTTGTGTATGTTTGTGTGTTCCATACATCCACTACCATTTATCTGGTATGTTGAAATGAATTTTCTTCTGTACCTTCTCTATTATTTTTCTGGTTAGTTGTGTCTGAAAAATGCATGTCACTGAAGCACCTTTTCATTAATAAAGATGTCATCATGTAGTTAGACTTTTATGTGATCATTTGATTCTGTGTTTTAATTTCATTAAAGTATTTGATGCTTGGCTTTAAAGAGAAACATAGAACAATGACTATTTTTCACCAAAGCAGGTTATATTGTAAATACATCATGAAACCTTTTGATTATGTCACAGCTGGGCTTTCCATTTAAGGACCCCAGTATAAAATTGTCCCTTTGCTCAGCATTACCCTTTTAATTTGATTAGCTGAAATCTTTCAAAGGAATGTGAAATTGATGACTTTGGATCTGAGACCCACTTGGTACCTACCTTTTGTTTTTCATACATTGCCACTCTTTCCTCTCTCCCACTACAGCTAAATTAAGTATAAATTCTTTTAAGTATATATTCTTTTTATATACTACTTCTCTTTGCATTTCCTACCCAGTATGACAGGGAACTTTCTTAAATTTCATGTAATAAAAATTTAAGGTTTTAGCTACATTGATATCATGTAAGCAAAATCATTATCCCCAAATTAAATTTATTAGACAGAATATAATGCTAATAATGTTCCATTTTTCTTAAAATATAATGTTCATACTTTTGCCAAAATTTGATTTATGCTTCAGTTTATAGGAATATATGGCTGTTGTACACACATGTAACAGAGCTTTGTTTTTTGATATATTTGACTCTGTTGGGTGATATGAGGGTTTTATATTGTTTGACCTTCAATATACATTGTAACATGGGCCTCAGTGACTTAATGTGCTTTCTTTTCCTTCTGTATATTCTCTACTTTAGGCCATGGAGTGGTTCAGTATTTTAATGTAGCATCAGCTATTTATGCAAAATACAAGTTACATGGATTTCAGTACCCTCCTGGAAACCGGATAGGTGTTTCCTTCATTGACGATGGGAGTAATGCAACAGAGTAAGTACCATTTCAGGAGTGTCTGGAGCCAAGCCCTGGGTGTACATGATTATGAATTGAAGAAAAAAAATAGGAAGCAGTTGACCTCTCAAGAGAGGAAGTCACACAAAACAAGTTACTATTAAGAGACTGAATATTTCCAGTTTTCTGTAAATTACCAGTTATTGTCTCCAGTCTCCTTAGAAAAATGGCAACACAGATGGTAGCTGCACAGCTTGCATCAATGGTGTGGAATAACCCAAGTCAACAGCAATTTCTGGTAAGTAGGTAAGAACTTTAACGTTTATAATATAATCAACAGAGCATAATACAGTCTACAGAGTATTAAATAAATATTACCTTTGTTTATTACCCATGTAAGAAATTTTTCATTACTATAGTAGGAAACCATGTAAGAGCCATGATTTGCACGTTTTTATCTTTTGACCAAAAATACCTGAAATGCAGCTTTTCTTTTTCTTGTTTTGTACTTAATTCTTCAACAGCAATTTGGAGGAAGTTCTGGATCCCAGTTGCCTCAAATCCAGACAGATGTTATACTTCCATCATGCAAAAAGAAAGCTCCTCCTGAAACTCCTGTGAAAGAAAGACTTTTTATTGTGTTTAATCCTCATCCTTTACCTTTAGATGTGTTAGAAGATATATTCTGGTAAGATTTGAACTAGTAATTTAAGCATTCTCACAATCTTGAAACTTCATTTATCCAATACCTACTTAGGAAGAGATGATTTTTTCTGTGGGTTTAAAAACTTCTTATTTGAATCATATTTTTCAATTTATAATCCCCCATTTCCTTCTCTTCTATGCCACTCACACATCTTAAGTTTCTACACAGAACTTCCTGTTATTTTGTTTAAAGCATGTAGTATTGTTTTGAAAAGCTGCTTGCATAGAATGGACAAACCTTTTGTCTCCTGATAGAAGATACATCTGTGTAGACTTGTCCATTAAAATTCTTTTTACATAGATTTTCCTTCATAGTTATAATTCAGCTGAACAGTATTTACTAAGCATCTTCTGTTTTGTCAGTGCTCAGTTGGATCCTAAAAATTACATAACCACATTGAGTAAACAGTTACTTATAAGAAAGAATATTAAGTGTTGGGCTGGGTTGTGGTTCAGTAGTAGAGTGCTTGCCTAGCATGTGTGAGACACTGGGTTCAATCCCCAGCTCCACATAAACAAACTAAATAAACAAAATAAAGGTATTGTATCCATCTACAACTAAAAAAAAGAAAGAAAAAAAAAAGAATAATAAGTACAATAAGTGTTAAGGGTAGAAGGTTCTTATTTATTTTTGTGTTTTTAATATAACCCCTATTTGAGCTTTTCCTTTATGGTCACTTTCTTGTTTGCCTTACAGGAATGTTAGTGAATTAAGCAGGCTCATTAGAAAGCTTGTTAAAATTCTGCTTAAGATATCAGGCATGTGGTTCAAGTATTTTGACCTTTGTTTAACTGAGTTTAATTGATTCATTTAGTTTAGTTTAGTTTTGTTGTTTTTTCATGAATCACTCCTCAGTGTCAGGCAGTCACTGTGTTAAATACTAAAGACAGTTATGTAAAGAAAACATTATATTACTATATTATGTTGACGAGATTATAGTCCTTGTCCCCTTAGAACTAATGTCATGTAGGAAACAGACAAATAGGGAATTACAATCTAGTGAGTGAGATGATGCTGTGGTAAGGAATATGTGAAATCCATGGGAGGGGAACCTACCTTAGAAACTCTGAGGAGTGAAAGTTAAAAATAATTTGCCATAGGAAGAAACTGTGGGTGTGGGTGATTTTTCCTGCCAAAGAGTGTGTGAAAGGAGGTGATTAGTATACAGACTTAAAGAGATTATAAGGGAACATGAAGCTAAGGAGGCCAAGGACCATGTTGAAAGCTATTTAAGGAGTTTGTTCTCACCTTGGAAGCAGTGGGGAGTGAGCTACTGAGGAGATTTTTACGGAGTAAATGATCATATTTTATTTTAGAAAGAAACAGAAAACATGGTGAAGAATGAAGAAGGACAGGTCACAGAACAAGGAAGAAGGCATTAGAGTAATATAAGGAAAAGATAAGGATAATTTGAATAAGGAAAGAGACCCAAGTAAAAAGAAGAGACATTAACTGAGTAAAGAGATATTTAAGTATTGAAATTGGCATGCATTCGATGTTGAACATAAGAGTAAGGGTAATAAATGAGTCAAGAATGGAGTCCATCCAGGCATGGTGCATGCCTGTAAACCCAGCGACTAGGGAGGTTGAGGTAGGAGGACTGTGAGTTCAAACCCAGCTCTCAGCAATTTAGTGAGGCTTTAAGCAACTCAATAAGACCCTCTAATAAAATTTTTTAAAAGGGCTGGGGATGTGGCTTGGTAGCTAAGAGCCCCTGGGTTTAATCCCTGGTAGCAAAAAACAAAAACAAAAAAAAACACAAGGTTTTAGAACTGAGTAGCAGTCTTTTTCTGTTTCAGTTGTTGTTTTTTTGTTTTTTTTACTTTGTTTCAGTCGTTTTGGTAACCTGATTGAAGTTTACCTTGTGTCAGGAAAAAATGTGGGTTATGTCAAGTATGCAGATAGAATAAGCGCTAATGATGCCATTGCTACTTTACATGGAAAGATTCTAAATGGGGTCAGACTTAAAGTTATGCTCGCGGATTCCCCAAGAGAAGAATCTAACAAAAGACAAAGAACTTACTGATCCTTGAGGTAAGCACTTCTAATCTGAATTTTAAAATTAAAATTAAGAAGAATCTATATAAGTACTTGAATTACGGACTTTTTTTTTTTTTTTTTAGAGATTTAGAAGATAATTTAAAAGCCCTGACTTAAGCTCTCTTTGAAAGCCAAATTTTTTTTAACAACACATTTTTAAACTTAAAATATTTAAACTCTAAAAAAATGCTTTTGATGTTTACTGGAAAAATGGGTAGATCAGATTTCAATTTAGAAAATTAAACATTTATTTTTTATTTGTGAATATCTATATCCCAAGACTTGGATTTTTTTTTTTACTGTATTCTTAAATAAAGCTTAAAATTGAAATATTTCTAGAGATTTTTAACTTGAAAAATTGGTGTCCTGAATTATGAATTGAGGTAATTTTTAACAGTCTTTATAAAGTATGTTTTGATTTGTCACTAAGGAAATGCCTAAAAAGCAGTATCAAATAATATACCTTTTGGGTATCATTTGAAACCTAAATATTGGTGTTTTCTGGATTTATATTTATGAGTTTATGCATTAAAAGTACATATTTGGAAAATATTCTCGTGTGCTTATATGTATTTTTTTTAAACCCTGACCATTTGCCAAAAATTCTTCTTTGTTATAAATACTGACATAGCCATGTGCATTGCTTTTCCTACTTATTAGTTTTAAAAATCAGACTTCAATTTCCTCTTTTGTGACAGTTTATATCTCCTTGCTTTGGGGAGACATTCTTTAATGTTAGTTAGGCTTTTTAATTCTGTAAATGAATTCTGGGTTTCAAAGGATACTGGGTTTCCTCACTCCCACATTCATCAGCCTTCCAAATCTACTACAGGTCTAATGAATCTGTTTTGTAGTTCCAGGTTTTCTTTCCAACCAATTATGTGAGCTAACAATTATCAAAACAATCATCACAGAGCTTATTGCTGATGACCTTCTTCTCATAGAGCAAGACCAGTGATTATTTGTTCTTCCTTCACAGAAGGCATTGGGCAATAGAGAGTGCCCACTGGGCCCATTGTTAATAATTCTACTTTTTACATGTTTTTAAATATTTGATGGCAAAACTAACTCTCATCACACCATAAAGTGTAGCAATTTAACCCTAGGAATATTAAATTGCCAGTGAAAACAAATTAGCCATTTTCCTGTTTTATAAGTAAAATGTTAAAAACTGAATTCTGTTTTAGACAGGCTGTCCTCTAAAATAGATTGCAAAAGTTGTGTTTATTCCTGTCTGTGAATATTTCAATATAATTAACAATTCTTGCTTTTGTTCAACAAATCCTTGTCCTTAAAAAGGACTATAACACTAATTTCCACCAAGGAAAAATATAGAAATTACTCTTATGATTGAGCCTTTCCTAATGATTATTTACATTTTAAAGAGAATACTGGACTTAAAATTAAAATCAGAATATCTGGGTTGGAATTTCAGCTCTGATACTTCTCATGATTAGGCAGCTCTTTTTACCTTTCAGATATCCAGTTATTGGAGTTATTAGAGTTGTTGAAAGACAATGAGAGAACAAAGTTCCTTGTTTAAAAAAATTAAGGATTGGGGATGTAGCTCAGTGGTAGAGTATTTGCCTCAGATGCATTATGCACTGGATTTAGTCCCCAGCACACACACAAAAAGAACTCTTCAACATATGGCTTCAGAGAAACCTTTGAGATAGATGATCTCATGCAAAATAATGGCATCTAAATGATCAAAAACTAAAAGTTTAATGGTATCAGTCTATCTCATGTCTGCTACTGTGAAAACTAAGATCTCTAATACCATGTCTTTCCCATTAAAAGCAATGTACATTCATCCAATTTTCTTCATTGAAGGACTTGCACATTCTTTAGCTTAGCTAGTCATAAAAATATAAGTCTATCATTTTTTTCCTTTACTAAACTGTTATATATTTTTAAGGCAAAGATAAAGTAGGGTCAGATTAGTTGAAAATTTTTTTTTTTGGTAGAATAAAATTAGCTATAATTTAAATGTATTCCAATTGCAGCATGGCTTTTTATTCATTTTTGCTCTTCATCTTCTATTTACGAAGGACTCTGTAATGAGATTCTCCTCTTTTTTTGGTGAATTAAATAAATATATTGGCCAGGCATGGTGACGCAACTGTATTTCAACTACCTGGGAAGCTGAAGCAGGAGGATCACTTGAGCTCAAGAGTTTAGACCAGCCCGGCAACATAAAAAAATAAATAAAAAATAAAATGAATAATCTTATCTTAAGGCTCAATAAGTATGGTAGACTTTCCCAAATTTTAAGGTTTTAACTGTTGAAGTCTGGAAGGAAGGGGTGGTATATTATGTTTCTTTAATTTCAAGAGGACAGACACATAGTTCATGAAGGTTAGTTCCTTTGAGGAATAAGCCTGGAATTAATTGAACCACACCTAGGAAATAGAAGAAAGTCATCTAAAAATATAATACTGAAAATAGTTGAGTTTTATGTGTCTGATATGCTTAATATATTTCTTCTGCTTGAGGAAACATAAATTTTAGTATTTCAGAGCATCTGATTTTATATTAATTCACAGCATTTTCCCTCTAGAAATTCAATACCTGCTTGCATCATCCTTCTGAGTAAGTGTGGTTTTGTTTATTGGGGGGCATCTATGATCAAACAGATAACATTGATTATATTGAAACAAAAGAACAGTTCCTAACATTTTAGGAATACTATATGCAACAGCTATTTTCTTTCAGGTGATGATTTTCATACTTGTGTTGTGTTCTTTCTACAGAACAAAGACTAAATAATGACATAATCCTCAGCTGACTGACTGAAAATGTGACTGGACGCACTCCCTGTGGACAGTTGACAGCTTTTTTTTTTCATATACCTGATAGTCTGCACAACATTATTTTGTCTGGGAAGCAGGAATTGCTGACATGTATTTTTGAATCCATACCTAATGCTAAAACTAATATGGTAGTTGTTTCTTAGAGCAATATGTTGTTATGTGTAGCAGAAATAAAGTTCTCTTAGAGCAATATGTTGTTATGTGTAGCAGAAATAAAGTTTTCTTTGCTTAACTATATTATGACTTATTTATGTCAAAGACAGGGATGAAAAAATTTAATAGACAGTGTTTAAAGGTTGACGAAATAATCTATTTCATTGATTTTTTTTACACACTGAAGATGGAAACATCTTGATATCAAATGTGTGCCATAGTGTAATTGGCATACAGTTATACTAACTTATTTTTCTTTCATAAATGAAACATAAAATAAAGGTACTTTTTTCAATTAGGTGCACCTTAGAGTCAATAAAAATGTAGTTGCTCCTCAGTGTACACATGCAGATTAACTGGTTACTTTTACTATAAGGACGAGCAAAAAGGCAGCATTAGAAATATTTTTATACTGTACATTTGCAATTATATTAAAACTTGAAAATTTTATAAAAACCTTTTAAGATTATAAAGCAACAGCTATAAAAATTAAAAGTTATTGTTGATATTTTAAATTAATGTCATGGTTGCAGGAGGTGGGGGTGGACATTGTTCCCTTTATAAATAAAGAAATATAATCACCACTTCAAAAATATAACATGTAAGCAGTTTTCAAAACAGCCTATGATAGAAAGTATAATTATTTTGAAATTAAAGATTAAAAATTAGAAAGTTACTTTGCTTATATTTTTAAAATCCAAGACAAAGTTTTATCAGTCCTTGAAGTAAATGATAATATATCAAAAAGATATATCTCAATCAGTAACTTAGCACCTTTAAAAAAATTATATGCATTTGCTAAATTATTACTTGATTGCCTCGTCATTATGACTCTTAAATTCTGAGTTAAACTAAAAATACTGAAAGATTAAATTCAGTGAGCATAAAAGAGTATTTTATGCTTGGACATTTCTCCAGTGAAAAATTAGAATCCCTTTTTTTGAATCAGTAACTTTAGTAAGTTTAGATAAGAAAATTTCCTATCTTATCTTCCCAGGCAAGACTTAATTGAAAAAGAATTTAACTAAGAGTCTTTCTGTGAGCCAGAGGGCATATTTTAAAATGAAAGCAAGGATTTCTTTAGAAATGAAAAACATAAGTGAGGAAAGTTGAGAATTCATTACCAACAGTTAGATTTATTCCTCCCAAGCACGTTTACTGTACACATAGTTCAGTTTTCACAGATTGGGATTAAATTATGCTTTACAGGTTATCTGGCTTCATCACTCAGTGCATGAATTCCCTCAAAAATATTCCTGTCCAGATGGTTAATGTAAACTGTAAAAATAACATAATTATAGAGAGGGAGCTCCCTACCTCTTCCCTGAGTCTATTGCATCTTTGGTTAATCCTTATATTTGGGATAAATCTCTCATTCCCTGCAATTTTCACTGATTAGTCTTTATGGTTCTCACTGGGCCACACAGAACGTGAGTCTTTCACATGGTAGCTATTGTATACCTCTATGCTCCCAAGTTTTGTTTGGATCTAGTTTCTCGTTTATTTGCATTTAAGGTCAAGCAGACAATCCCAAAAAATGGTTATGTCGGTAGAGTCCCTCATCGAGGTTTATTTCCTTAAGTTGTTCATACAAATTCTAAAGAGACTTATTATACTCCTCTGAATCCTTTTTTTTTGCTTTTTCAATTCAACCTTCAATTTAGTTTCTTTCTCAGTAACATATCTCAATGAACAGTGGTTACTTTAGCCTCAGTGTGCACTCATCTTAATCCTATCATTTAGCCTTAGTCCTACTTTCCTGTGTCTATGGTTCATCCCTACAACTTCAAAAGCCAGAATGTTATGTTTTTCTTAAAATAAGTAAATTCTAGAACCTAATAGCAGTTTGTAATCTGGTGTTTATGTCTGAAATGTTTACTTCTCAGATCCACTTTGGATATAAAAACAATGTGAATATTTAGTTGCTCAGTTATTAAAACTTCCACATAGTGAAGTTTTATTACATATTTCTTTGAAAATTTTTTTAAATTATAACAATATAGGTATAAACCTCTTATAAGTATGTCATTAAAATAATAAATGATATTTAAAATAAATCCTGATCAGAGCTTTCTCGTAAATTCATGAGTTCAGACAGGTCTTTTATGGTAGATTACAGGTGCCAAATGTAGCTGTCAGACTCTCAGCTTCTAGAGTATGATGTCCCATATGTTCCTTTAAAATACCAAAAAGACATTTTTATGGTTATATGTGTGTGTGTGTGTATATATATATATATATATATATAAAATATATAACATCCTTTGTATTACAATAAATTTTTTATCTATAATATGAAAACCTGTGGAATTTATAACACCAAATATTACATATAATGTATATATATAATAATATATAAACATTATATATAATATATATATAATGTGTGTATATATATATAAAATATTTGGTGTTATAAATTCCACAGGTTTTCATATTGTAGATAAAAAGTTTATTGTAATATCAAGGAAGTTATTTCTCTAAAATTTTAACTTTCTCTGAATTTTGTTCTATAGTATTTTAATCAGGATCCTACTCTGTATTAATGAACCCCTAAAAAAATAGAAATAAGGAATTTTTACCACTAGGTGGTGTTAAACATTATCATTCAAAAACAACGAAGTACAGCATTCCAACATTAAAATTTAAGGCACTGGGTGTGAAATGATGGGATTTGTAAGCAGTGGTTCTTAAAATATTTGGTGTCCCTAAGAATCTCCTTGAGTGATTGTTTAAAATATAGGTATACTGATTTTGCAGTTTTGAGGTATTTTCAATAAGCCCCCTAAGTGATCCTGATAGAGTAGCCATTGGCATTCACTTTGCATTATATTGGCCTAAAGAGATTACATGTGGTTGGACTGTTAAAAAAGATACTGAAAATTTGTTTCTAAGTCTTTCTATCTAAGACATCTTTTAGGATTAAGTATAAGCATTTTCCTCAATTTAATATCAGGAAATATGAATTGTATTAAGAAATTGAAAAACCCAAATAGTCTTACAAATAACAAAATAACAAGCAGGTTTCTTCATGTTAGTAAATCTTTTTTGGTGTTTGTAAAGAATGATAATTATTTGCTTTATGTAATTTTAGTTTTTATTTACATTTATTCTTAACTGAATTATGTAAATAAGTTATCACCAAAGATTGTGGAAGCAAATACATGTTCTTTTTAAGTGAGCATAAAGTGTAATTATCATCAATGTAAAAAAATTTGAAAAATAGAATAAGAGGGTACGGAAATGCATCTATATGTAAGTGACTATTATAGTCTTAAAGTGAACCCTCTTGCAAATTTGGTAGTCATCCTTCCCCATCACTTCTATATTCTCTTACCTCCTACCTCCCCCTCAATCCCCTTCCTTTATTATTCTCCATTTTATTTTTTAAATATTTTATTCTTTTTAGTCATATATGGCAATATAATTCATTTAAACATAAAAGCATGAAATATAATTTCTTCTAATTCAGTCCCTAGAACCTCTCCTTCCCAACTCTGTTCCTCCAACCCCTTGTTTCCCCTCTCTCTATTCTACTAATTCTGCTTAAGTAGCCTTTTTACCAAGAGGTATAGGTACACACAGGCACTATTTCTATTAGTTGTTTTTACTTATGATTTTATTGAAGAGGGAAAACATAAATGTCATTCTTTTTAGATAAGGAGTTCTGTTTTGCTATCTGAATTCTAATAAATGAATTGCATTATTTCCTTTTCTAGAAACAGTAACTCAAGAGCACATGGATCTTGGGAACTGAAGGTATGGTATTGCCAGGTGATGAGATAGAAATACTTAGTTAAAATATGAAGTTGCAGTTCATTCATTACAATGATCATCCTTCAAATTGAGCAAATATGTGGAGCTGCATGTATTTATCCTCAAAAAATGTAGCTCCACTATGCTTTGAGAAATCTACTAGGCCATGAGAATGCATTTGAGTGGTTATCATAGAAAAAAATGAGTTCTATAATTGTCACATATGAATTTAAAGCAGTATATAGATGTCAGTGTTTATGTGAGCTAGCTAACCTTCAAACATAGAATTATCCTATCTGGCCATACTAATGCAGAAGTGGTAAAAAGAAGGTGTCAGAAGACTATTTTAGGAAAATTATTTGTATTTGATTTTTTTTTTTTTTGGTGGTGCTGGTATCTCATGCATGCTGTCACTGAGCCACATCCCCAGCCCAAATTATTTATATTTGAGATACATAACTCAGAAACTATCTGGTAAAGCAAGTATCACAGAAATAGGAAAATAATATTGAGCACAGTAGAATACCTAAAAGTGCTTACTCACAGATACTCTTTTGAATCTACATTCTTCCATTTATGGGTAAATTTTGTTGTAACCAAATTATTTTCTCAGTAATACATTAATATCATTTTCCAGCTTTAATACTACATAGATCATAGCATTCATTAGCCCTGGGTTCAATCCTCAGCACCACGTAAAAATAAATAAATAAAGATGGTGTGACCAACTAAAATAAATTAAAAAAAAAATAGTAAGGAATGGGATTTTAAAACAATTTGTTTTAAAAAGCAAAATGACATCTATATATATTACATCTTAGCTTTATATTGTATTACTTTGTATGAACGGATTGTACTAGTAATTTGAGATATGTATTTAGAGTTCCATCAGAATAATTCATTCTATATTTCTTAACTAAGTCACCCTGAAGCTACAGTGTCTTAGAGATTTTTTCCTTAACCAAGAGAAACAGCTGACATTCAGCCAGCCAAGAAGGTCACAAATGATCCCCCTCTGAAAAGGGCAGCATAAGTGACACAGACTTCTTAGCTCCTGTCCATTAGCTGACTTAGAATATAGCAACGGAGAAAAGTGTTCTTTCCATCTTCTTTGTCCCAAGAACTGTGATCTTATTGCAAGGAAGCCCTTTACCTTCTTCTATCCTAGATCTAATGGATCTCCTACAGTTCCCTGGGGAATGAATAAAATGGATCTAACATTTCTGATCACCTTCTGAATTTTACACCAGTATCTGAGTGGACAGAAAAAGAGCTGAAAACACTCATCCGCCTTGACATTCCCCTGAACTTTAATCTAGACTCATTAAAGAAGTGAATAAGTACATAGGCAAAATGTTTGGACAGCACTTCACATAAGTCGTAGAAGTTAATTTGTTTATTTTTTTCAAGTGTTTTGTGTTTGTTTTGTTTTTTGGCAAAAAGCATTAAAATATTTTACTTTGATAGTTATTTACTTTGATAGTTAATATTAATTTAAAAATTTAAAACTATTAAATGTTCAACCATTTTGTCATCAAAGAAAGGCACATTAAAAATACAATAAGATATTTTTATAGTGGTATGAACAGCAAAAAATTAAAATATTGACAGTATTGGGCCTGGGATTATGGTAGAGTACTTGTCTGGCATGCTTAAGGCCCTGGGTTTGATCCTCAGCACCACATACAAATAATAAATAAGTAAATAAAATAAAGGCCCATTGATAACTAAAAAAGTTTTTTAAAAAAAAAATATTGACAGTACTAAGTATTTGTGAGGATGTGGAGCTATAGGAATTGCTGATGAAAGTATAATTGGCTTAACCTTTTGGAAAATGACAGTATATTTTAAAGTTGAATATACCCTCAGCAATTCCACTTATAAGCTTGTATTCATCAGAGATGTATATGTATACATATATATTTATCAACAAACATAAAAATATTTTTAGCATTTTTCACAGTGGCCTCAAATTGGAAACAACTTGTGTCCATCAACAATACATGCAATAAAGAGGATGCCCTAAAGCAAGGAAAGGAGCTAATTTTTGCTACATGTAACAGTATGAATGAATCTCACAAATAATGAGCAAAAGAAACTAGCCAGTAAAAGAAACTAGCCAACAAAAGAATATGTGTGTATGATTCCTACTATGGTGTTCAGAAACAAGCAAAACACTACCTTTGGGCAGAATGAAATGGGGAAAGGTTACAAAGGGTAATGCTTTAATGTGCTTGTAGTCTTGTCTAGACTAGGATAGTGATAGCTTGGTAATTTTTTGAGCTATACTCTTTATGTATTTCTTATATTTCATATATATTTATATATAGTTTTTGTTTTTTAATGAGTAAAGCTAAATCAGCATGATGCTTGTTGAACAAATAATTCTGCAGTATGAGAAAAGAGCGGTTTGCCAAAGCTCTTAGAAGAGAGGGCTTTCTTTATTCTTTCAGTGCATTAGAGCCAAGAATATTAGAAAATATCTGCTTTGGATCCCACTATGATGCAACAGAGCATTATGATAAGAGAGCAAGAGAAGAGTAAGAAAGTGAGACACTAAATTTAAATTTATGTCAGAAATAGTAAACAATCATAACTCTTAACGAAAATTTAATCCATGAAGAAAGGTGAAACTAAACTGCTTTTCAGAATCCTGTGGGTTCTCATGAGCCCACACATCTCATCCTAGAGGGGGTACACATTCATCAATGAGATTAAAACTGCCTTTGTTGATGTTACATACTTTGCTTTTTAAAAAGCTTTCCTTGGGCCTGGGTTGTGGCTTAGTGGTAGAACGTTTGCCTAGCACGCATGAGACACTGGGTTTCATTCTCAGCACCATATAAAAATAAAATAAAGGTATTGTGTCTATCTACAACCAAAATATGTATATATATTTTTAAAAAAAAGCTTTCCTTGAAGGATTTCTGCAACTTGAATAAGTTACAGTAAACCAAATTCACTAAATTGAAAGATAAACTTGAAAAGCATCCTCAGATGATTACAGTAAGAGAAAAGGTATGGATAAAAAAAAAGACTGATTAGAGGTTTATCCTTTGAATAATAGGTATCCCCAATGAAGACAACTAAACAAACAATATTCAGTTAAGAACCCATCCAAAGAACCTCTGCTACACATTTTAAATGCCATTTGGAATGGAACAGTGTCTACAAGAAGTTTTTGTAGTTCAGCATTTCTCTACTCATCCAAACTGAAGGTAACAGAATGGCATCCTGGGATATACAGTGTACTACTTATTTGTCCTTCCTGGAAAAAAAACAAAACAAAACTTACTTGAATATTATCACCACACTACCAAAGTAAGTCCAAATTAAGAATAGAAGAATTAAGAGTTAAAGACAAACTGGTGAGTATTGAAGCCAGTGAAACTATTATTATTTGTCTATTCTAAAATTTCTAAAATGGGGTGTAGAGCCTCAGAATAAATTAATGAAGGCTGAAAAGAAATGTTAGTTTCTTTGGGGGTCAGGGGTTGAGTTAAGGGGTAAAATACTTATTTTCTATAAAGAGGAAACATTCTGGTTTTTATTTTGATAATTTAAATTTAAGATTAAGAATCCTTTGAAATCTAAGGTGATTAATGATAAAATTAACAACAATGTCTCCTTTTCAAATCCTTCAAAAATACAAAAATAATATTGTATACTTGACAAAAATCAGAAGGGAAAAACAAAATGCAACATCAAAACTGTAAATTGTTTAAATACTAAAAACAAAATGGAAAGATTTGCTTCTTCCAAGAGCATCTGTAAATCAAGGTTTATCATCACCCAACAAAAAGTATCTCTGAGTACAATTTAAGGGAGAAAGAAGAGGAATTATATTCACTTATAGAATTATAATCAGTAGCGAAGACAACAGACCCCTAACATTTATATGCAGAATAATACAGGATTAAAACAAAAGTACAAAAGCCTTTAAAATAGTTTAGAAATTATAATGGAGGGCTTCGCATGTTCTCTGAACTGTCATTAACAGAAATGAACTAGGAGAGAGAAATTACCCTTAAAAATGAAAAAAAATATATAGTGATAAAAAAGCAAAATTTTGACATGTGTAGAAAAAGAAGATAAAAACCTTTTCTCACAAATTAAACAGGAATGTTGAATGATAATGGCAGCGGGGTATTCCGAAATATGTCTTAGCTTCTGCATGTCAGCTGATTTAGAGTATTTATAGCAGGATAAAAAACAAAATGACAAAAACCCACCTTAAGTATGTTTTTTCCAGCCTCTTTGTTAAGTACCCTGGTCTTTCAAGGACATCTCTTACCCTCTCCTCAGCGTAAGGCTTATTAACCTTCTTGGATCGCCTAGAGAAATGAAATGGGTCTAACATTTGGTGCCCAACTGCCAGACATTATTTCAGCCTCTGAACAGACTTTTAAGAGCTAAAAGCAAAGCTTGAAGCTTGATAATTGCCCTGTATTGCCTTTTAAAGGACAGAAATTGTACAAGACTTGCTCTTTGACTCCCAAGGTAATAAAATTCAAAAAACAATCACAATCACCAGGAAAACAATTTTAAAACCCTCTTCTAAACAGCTTTTTGTTAAGGAAGAAAATTTCAATAAAAGTGTTAGAATAAAGTAGCAAAAAAATTTAAAATGTCTAAAAGCCACATTGGTAGCTTTATTTGGAAGGAAAAAATAAATCAATTAAAACATACAATACAAGAAACAAAAGTAACATGACAAAAGTGAGACTAATAAATCAGTTTGAAAACAATAAATAGGCATCTCTTGGCAACTGTATTTTTTAAAATCATAATTAAATATTAAAGGTAATGAAAAATATAGAGATTATTAAATATAAATGCTATTTTCAAATTTCTTGAAAATTAGAAAATCCAAACAGGTCAATGATCAAAGAAAAAACTCAGGTAGTAATTGATGAATTGTGTTTTTTTGATGAATCCATATAACTTCATCCTTCTTTCATAGTTTCAAGATGCATATTATTATAAGAATATAACGGTATGTTTTTCCTATATCAGAAAAGGTGAGTATATACATTTTACTTTGTGTAATTGTTACCCTGACATTAAAACTTTAAAAAGCAATTAAAATCAAAAATATAGATTCTTTTTTCACCTATGAATATGGATGCAAACAAATCTAAACAAACTATTACAAAGTATAAATATGTTCAAAGAATAAGTCACCATTGGCAAGTAATTTTTACCCTTTGATGAAAAAGCAGTTCTCATTAACGAAAAAAAACAATAATAAAATACATATGATAAAACTATAGTAAGTTCTATTTGCCTAAATTGATCACTTGTTCATTCTTGTGATTGTCCAGGGATTATTTAGATTATGCATAGTTTACTTGAATGTCACTAGCTGGAAGAATAGGGTTAACCTGGTTGTTGAAATTAGTTAGTATCCAACCTTCACCCTCAATTACATGGCTGCAATAAAATGGGAAGGGCCAGAAAGGGATGTTGGTGAGGCATCCATTGCTTCGTAGAAGGATACATGTATTGAGCCCTTATGTTTTTTGTCAGGCATTGATCATTGCTTTACATACATCTTAAAACCCTGTGAGGTAAGTAGCATTTTATTTAATTTCACTTATTGTTTATGGATTTAGCTTTGTGGTGCTAGGGGTCAAACCCAGGGCCTTGAATGTGTTAGGTAAGTGCTCTAATACTAAATAACAGGCCTAGTCTGTAAGTACTATTTTTCAAGCAAGAAGCTGAGGTAGAGATGAAGTAACTTTTTTTCCAAGGTCACATAGCTAGCAAATGGTGAAGCTGGGCTTCAGATACAGGTTATCTTAAAGTTCATACTCAGTCTCTACACTGAACATCAAAGGGTATAATAAAGATCACATTCATGCACACTGAATATTATGTAATAACAAATCTTTCCATAACTATGAGATAGCCTGGGAAGAATGCTTATTGTTATTTAGTGAAAGAAAGCAGGGAAACAACTTATAATATTATTAAGTAATAATGAATTTGAAAAAAAGCCATATGGATATTTGTTTTTCACTATTATATATTTTCTCTTGGTAAACATGTATAGTTTTGTTTAATCTTTTAAAAGTACACTATTTTTCCTACTATATTATAAGATTTTTGTCAACAAAGACTGTGTTTTTATTTCTATAAGCTGAAACCCAGCTATACCCTTACACATTAAAGTCACAAAATGAATTTTCATCCATTTGTACTATAAAATAAAAGATTCCTGTTTCTTCTACTGTAGAGATTCTGAAAAGAAGTCTGTATTCTCTATAGATGTACTAATATTTGTTTAGATGCCATCTTTTCAAACTGAGATCTTATAGGTTCATTTTTAAAAATTCAACTTTTATTTCAATTTTAGGTTTTTGTTGTCTTGTGCAATTTTATGAGTGCCAAATTCACAGTCCACATACAAATTTTGATTTTAAATAACATTTATTATTCTTACTTTATTCTGAGAATTGTAAAATATTTTACATTTAATCATGTAAATAATTTTATGAAATTATATCATGAAGCACAGAGAAATTACTTCACCAGGACACAAAGCAAGTAAGTAACAGACCTGGGATTTGCACTCAGAGAATATGGCTGATGGTCTCCATTAAATTTACACACTGTTTAATTCAACCACTGTTCTCTTTTGTTGTTAAGAAGAAAGTACTATAATCTGTATCCTAAAAGGAGAGCATGTAATGAAAAAATCATTCATTCCAGTGTATGACCTCTCGAGACAGTGAGATGGAAGGAAAAGGTGAGAAAAGTATAATTGACAGGAGGTGAAAGCAAGAGAAAAGGATTACAGGCTGCAAGGAGATGACTCAGTGACTTTGAGTCAAAGTGTTTGTTCCTTTTTGGTGGTGCAGATTTATTCAACATCATATATTGAGCACCTCACTACAGGGTGTTGAGGACACAATAGAGAAAGAGGAAGAGAAACGTTAGTGTCCTTATTTTATGTAGTTTAGTCTAATTATAACATACCTAGGAGAAATAATGTGTGGTGGGGGATCAGCCGCTACTTTGAATAAGGCAAGCTGGCTCCCCCCAAACCTGTCAATTTTAAATGATTCATCAAAACAAAATAATTCTTCTACTATCATCCTTAATCTCTCCACAACTAATTTTTTATATATTTGTAAAAATTTTGTACATAGAACTGTGGTATAGTACACCATACCACACACTCGTGTAACCCATTATTTCATGGGTCTCAGTGTTTCTGCTTGTCTTCCAAGCAGAGGGACTGGCTCACTTTTTAAGGATGTTTGTGTTGTGAGCAGTCCTGAAATGCAGGAGCAAAAGGCAGATTTGTTTACTGTCCAGAATTATAAAGATAATTTGTCCCTCCAGGACAAAGGATTAGCAAAATTACCACCCTTTATAAATGATTCAGGTTCCCCAAGTTTGGCATTCTGCTAAGACACAAACTTGCTATGTGCACAGCATCCATCTGAACTCCTCTTCACACCTGTAAAACTGAGGAACCTGTGCATACATAAAACTCATACTTCTTATTACACTGTGAATAATAAAGTCCTTTATCTTTGATGCAAGAATTCTGTGTGTTCTACCAACATCCATAAGACATTAGTAGACTAATTTTGTTATCTTGCAAGCAAGATAAAATCTTAGACCCTTCACAGTTTTTGATAACCACACCTCTTGAAGATATAGATTCTTTCCAGGAAGCAACAAGTTCCCACATGTCCTCTTGCCTTTTCTAGAACATTGCATAAATGGAACCACACATTATATTCTCTTTTGTGTTTATCTATTTTCACTCAGCTTAAGATTTTTGAGAATTATGATTGCCATTATATCAGTGGTTCATTTCTTTTCATGGCTGAGTGAGTGTTCCAATGTCAAAATGACCCTCAATTTGTTTCCATTCCTCTGATGATGGATGTTTGGGTTTCCAGTTTGAGGATAAAACTGCTGTAAACATTCACATGGTTAGTACTATTTTATCATTTACAGGATATTGGAACTAAATTGTTGTAGAGACTCTGGATTCTGTTACCCTCCAAAGAGTTTAATTTTTGTTCTAGCAGACCCTTAGCTTGTCTGGAACCGTATTTATGACTCTTTTGCAATAGGAAGCAATTAAAATTTCTGTCTGAATTTTCAGCCATCCAGCTGTTGTTTTCTACATACCATCACCCATGGTAGATGCCCGTGCACATGCAGTCAGAATCAGCCAAAACTTGGAGATCTGTGAGATTTAGGAACTCCCTGTTTTGTGACTCTGCCTTTCTGAGGTCCTTCCTTGGTTTTAAGTTGCTTGCGTACCCCAAACTCTGTCCATTGATACTCAGTCCATTAAGACTGCTCCTGTCTGCTTGAGTTCTAGCATCCATGTACTCAGGCAGAAGTTTTATAAATGCAAATATCACCCACTGTCATTCAATGCTTACCCACCTCAGTTTCTGCCTGCTTTTTGTCAGTTCTCATATACCTTTAGATAAATTTTTTCATGAGTTGCCCCAAGTTTATAATTGTTGAAGGAGACTTAGTCTGATAAAAGTTTCTCTACCATTTCCAGAAGCAGAACTTTGTACAGTGTCTTTATTTTCTGTGATATTTTACATGGACTTATCTCTTACATATAAGTAACATGAAGCTGAATTTGTGTGTTGTGTGTGTGTGTGTGTGTATGATTTGATACTGTCTCACATTCAGTAGGTCAGTTTAGTCTATTTACATTTATTGTGAATAATATCATAATTATTTTTTATATTTTATGTGTTGTGATTACTCTTAATTATATTTGCATCTTTTGTTCTGGTCTTCTGCAGGTTGTTAAGATTTTCTATAACCCTCACACCTCTTACATTCTCCTTATTTGGAAGTTATAAATTATATTTCTCTTCCTTAGTAGACACCCTTAAATTTCTAACTGTATATCTGTAAAATTTTATAAGTCTAAAGCTGTTCAGTATTTTTCCTTCCTTCCAAACAGAAAAAGGATATCACTTCATTTTATTTACCCATTAATAAGTCCCTGTCTTCCCTTTTATTATTGTCTACAAATTTAATTAAATAAATAATTATTCATTTATTTTGGTACTGGGGGTTGAATCCAGAGGTGCTTTACCACTGAGCTACATCCCCAGATCTTTTCGTTTTTAATTTTGACACATGTCTCACGAAGTTGCAGCTTCACTATGTTGCCAAGGCTGGCTTCAAATTTGTGATCTTCCTGCTTCAGCCTTCCAAGTTACTGGAATTACAGAAGTATACCACTGTGCCCAACTGTTGTCTACAAATTTAGTATCTACTTTTATTATAAAAATATTTTCAAAATCAATATTCAATTATGCCAGCATATTTTATGCTCACCATCATTTCTTTTTTAAAAATAACCATATTGAGATATAATTCACATACTATAAAATTTTCATTATTTTTTGCACCTAACTTCTTTCTCTTGGATTGACTTTTCTCCTTGCAGGCTTTAGTGGTCATTTCAGTGGTATGTATTTGAGGTTTTGGTTTTGTTTCGTCATGTTTTCTTTTCGTAAGTGCCTTTACTTTATTTTCACTCCTTAATGATAGCTTTAGGAATTCTACATTCAGAGTTATTTTTCCTCAGCAACTTGAAGCTGTTAGTCCATTGTGTCCTGTCATTTTTTTCCCATTGGAAATCTGATATTAGCCTAATTTTTATTTCTTTATATTTTTTTCTCTCTTTGGTAACTTTAACATTTATATTTTTTATAAAAATCCTGAAGTTTTATTCCATATGTCTAGATATAAATTTATATTTTATCCTATTGAGTACAGATTGTAGTTTTACTCAAAGGGGTTATTTATCCTTCAATTTAGGAAAGTTCTATGTCCCCTAAATCTTCAAATATTGCTCTGTTGTTTTTTTTTTTTTAGAAGTTCTATTAGACATTGGAGCCTCTTGATCTGTGTTCTGTGTCATTTATTTTTCCATTCTTATTCTAAAAATCTCTGTTGCATTCTAGATTACTTCCTCAGTAATGCTTTATAATGTAGTAAGTAAAACTGTGTGCAGTCTAGAATGACCATTGAGTTTCTAATTTCACTTGACATGTTCTAACCTTTTAACTCTTTTTTTTTTTTTACCAAAAAGCATGTAAGTATATTTTACCTTTTGTTGGAGGAACTTCAAATTTACAAGGCAAAGTGGTATATACAAGTAAATGTGAAGGACTGAGGCCAAGAATCAAAGCAACCATGCACCTACCCTCTCTGCTATAATTATTTACATTTGTTCATAGCAAAACAAATCCACACTAATCCCAAGATCCCAAAATCCTCATCCAGTCATGGCACCAGGATCAAAATCCAGAGTCACATAGTGTACAACATATTTAGTGGTTATCTGTCCATCTAGAAACCTATGAACAGTGTGTGTGTGTGTGTGTGTGTGTGTGTGTGTGTGTGTATGTGTATGTGTGTGTGTGTGTGTGTGTGTATGTGTATGTGTGTGTGTATTCCTCAAATCATGGAGCAAGGATAGTATAACTTCAGTTAATACTCCTAGTCAAAAAAAATTGGGGGCAGGGAGTAACATCAGATGACAGTAGATTCACTTGCTCTGAAATACCATGGAGGAAATATTCCCAGCTCCTCCTATTCTGGAGCAAGAAATCTCCCTAGATTAAACCTGGGTTTCATTCCCCCAAAGAGGTTACAATCCATTATTCTTCACTGCTCTTAGTTTCACCTTCCAGAAGTTCCTAACATTTCTGATATCCTTCTTGGTTACTTCTGAAGAGGGCAACACAGAATATGCCCTTGTGGGTGCTAAGAAGCTTTCTCAGCTACTTCCTGAGTATAAAAGTTGACCTGGAGGTCTTAGTATATCTTAAACCATCTCCATCCCATTTAGTCCCAACTAGTGGTGTGTTTACCACATCTCTCAAAAACAGCTTTTCTATTAATTAATTTTTAGTAACCTCTATTTGACAAAACTATATCCACAATTCTTTTTGAGATACACCTCTATATATACTTATTAGGAACTACCCCTCAGGCTTCTAAGAAACCCTACCCTTAATCCTTTGGGATATACCTTTGTCTTGCTGAAATGATCTGCCAAGTACCACCTTAATTCTTTCAGATGTCTTAATAAAGGATATTATAGCCATGTCCTTAATTTGTTTTTGTTTTTTGTGTTTTTTTTTTGTTTGTTTTACTCTCAGGCTGAATTTGAGACACTTTTATGGCTGGAGATGATGAAGAGGTTTGTTTTCCAACTAAAAAAGTTCTTCTCCCTAAATACCTCTAAATTCTGCTTGCATTTTTGGTGGAATTTTTTTTCTGAATTTCTCTCTTATAGTATCTTATCAAGTAGAAGTAAAAACAACTAGCTCATACCTTCAATATGTACTTAAAAACTATCCTACTATCTTCCATGTTACCACAGGCAGTGGTTTTACAAATACAGGTTGCTATTTTTTCAGTTTCTATAATAGTTTTTTTTTTTTATTACCATCCCTCACCTACCGCCTGAGCTAATACCATATAATTTAGGTTCTAGTTATAGCAGTGTCCCAGTATTAGGTGCTAATTTCTATATCAATTTGCTGTTGATGCATAACAAACAATCACAAAATCTCAGTGGCCTGTAAGCTTTTCATTTTACTAATAAGCTTTTAATTCTCTCCTGGGTCTGCAGGTCAGCTAGGGCAACTGCAGCTGCAATTGCTGAAGCAGCTTTGCTGATCACAGGCTTATAGTCAGATATAGCAGTTCTGCTCCACATGTTCCATCTGTGGCACAGGGCAGACTGGGACTTTCTGAGAAGGGGATAATTGTGTTAACTTGTGAATGATAAGAAGGACCCAGCTGGGAAGAAACCTGGAGGAGAGTGTGCCCATGGAAAGACCTTGAGATGAGAGTTCCAGGGAGCAGGAGGAAGCTATGTTCCTGGAACAGTAAGAGGAAGAACATGGAGGAAGCAAGACCTGTAGGCTGCTGGGTTAAATCACCTAGGGCTCCAGTGGCCACAGAGAGAGTGTAGGGTGGATTTGGTTGCTAGGTCTACAATCTGGGAGGGTAGTTCTCTACAAATTCATCCTGCGCCCCAGGGCTGCAGCTGCGATGGAGAAAACACTGTGGTGAAAGAATACGAAGTGGCAAAACCCATTAGATAAGCATATGTGAAGACCCTGTTTTCATCATATCTTTGAGCATTCCATTGACCAAAGCATGTCCAATAGCTAGAGCCAAAATTAAAGGGTAAAAAAGTATACCACTTTTTGAGGGAAAAATGTCAAAGTTCCAGTGGTAAAGAATATGGGTACAAGGAAGGAAGAAGAACGTGAGCCACTGACTTATCACATCCTCTCAGGTAACGTGTAGGATATTGACTGCCAGATAATTCTGTCCTTTTGCCTCCTGAAGCTTAAGGCTTCACATAAAGGCAGAGTGCCAAGCAAGAGTCATCAGCAGCTTTGAGAAGCTTCCTTGTGATGGGGTAGGGGGGAAGCAAGGGTCCCCAGCCCAGCTCTTATTTTAGGTAATGGAACCTATCTCAACTCTCCACCTCATCTGAGACAAATTGCCTCTGTCTGCTGTTCTACCCAGAGTCTAGCAGGTTCATTTGCTTCACTGTCTTTTCTTTTGCTGGCTCACAGAGAAGTTTATCTTGTTTAACACACCTGTGTCCTTTTTTGAAGCTGCATGATATTTTTAAATACATTATGTATCATGATCATTGGATTGGAGCAGAGACTACTTTGAACCACAAACAATTTTCAACAGCATTGCAACTGAAGCTCCTAGAATCTTACATGAAAGGTATCTTTTATGTCCTGTGATGATTTTTTAAAATAAAACATTTTGTAATCTCTTGACACTTAAGTATACCCAAATTTAGTACATTAAAAAAAGTTTCTTGATGGATAAATACAAATTCTTCAATTCAATGCATTTAAAAAATAATCAGGTAGATAATATAAAAGGAAAACAGCAGGAAAATTGGAAAATTAAACTACTAAGATGTATATATTAAATTTATTAGTGATTTTATCACAACCTACTTATCCCATTCTTTTCTTTATGCCTTATCCAAATTTTATATTTTCTTTTTCATTCAACTTTTTATCATGGAAAATTTCAAATATGTAAAAAATACACATAATCATGTAATGCCTTGTAGATACCTGTTGCTGAGCTTTCTTAATTATTAATTATGGTGAATCTTGTTTCATTTATGCCAAGTGAATCTTGTTTCATTTATGCCAAGAATTGGGAAAATATTACCCCTAGACCAAATCCAGCCTGTTGACTATTTTTCCAAATAAAGCTTTATTGCAACACAACCAAGCTCTTTTGTTTGTATGCCTGCCTTCCTACTATAATAGTAGTGTTGAGTAGTTGCAACAGCTGTTATATGACCTGCAAAACCTAAAATATTTATCAAACCCTTTATATGAAAATCTTGCTGACCTCCAGACTAAATTCTCATTTATTCATCTCAGGAAAAATCTCCCACATTTCATTAAAATTGTTTTCAGTATGTTTTAAAATATAATAACCCTTAAAAATAAAGCATGTCACCCTTG